TTCGGGGTTAAGTAGAAGAACTAGACAGATGGGAAAGATGGTTGTCCAAATGGGTGCTTAAGACTTTAGAGCACGACACACCGCGGAAGCCCACACCGACGTTTGTTTAGCTGTGCTATCGAACTACACCGTAGATTGGCTGTCGCACAAAATGCGCTCCAACTACTGCGGGTTGGTCCAAATAACTGGATCGCGGCCTCCAGTAGGGAGGGCTACGGCGTCGTGCTTGGTAAGACACCGGATGATCTACTATCGATCGTCGACCGCAGTGAGTTTCTATAGAAAGCCGTTGGATGGGGTATCTATACGTTGAAAACCAAGATATTTCCGACAGGCACCGTCGAGTCGACTGCTCTGACTCAGACCCATCGTACAACCCTGTAATTAGTCCCAGAGTTCAGATATCTGAAGACCAAGTAGTCAGGTGAGGGACGAGATACCTCTGCGTGTTGACAATGTAGGAAGAGACTTTCTACAGATACGCATATCATTATGAACCCGTAGGGAAACTAGTCTCCGAACCCAACCACGTGTATAAACGTTTGCCATTCGCATGGCCGCCAGCCCTGGTCGTTCAGAGTCGAGCATGCAAAACAGCTAGATTTTTTCGACAATCGTTGCAAGAGTGAAATGGTGAGACCGGGTATCCAACAACAAGATACGGCGGCGCTTCTTGAGAACAGAGAAACTAAGCCTTCTCTTGCGGCCGCGATGACGCTCGCAATGTTTCGGTTACGTGCTATGTAGAAACGGATGAAATTTACGTATTGGCGTATTATCAGTCTCAGAGCTTCTTTCTGAGACTGAGAAAACAGAGGAATAAAAGATTAAAACTAGGAGTACTTATGTAGAAAAATCCCGATTTTGAACTGTGCCTTGTAACTCTGAAGTTCTCGGAAGATTTGGCGAATGTGACAGAAAACGAGTATAGCCAAGACCAAATGCACGCTAATCTGCCAAAGTGCACACGCTGGAAGGGGTTAGATAAAGGAAGTGTAAATTCACGAATGCAACGGTCGGAAATAACGCTGATTGGTTGTGACATATCTACGCATAACTCGGGCTGTGCGATACAGGTAATCAATCAGCAAAACTACAGCATCAAATCCAATTAAAAAGACCAATGCTTCGGTGACAGATATAGCACAGTTCGAAATAGACTCACGTATAAATCCGAAGGCACATTAAATGACAGCTCTGATTGGTTCGAACTGCGATCGGGTAAGCATATGTCCACGTTTAGTGACGGATCTACAAAAAAACCAAATGGTTAGAAAAGAACTATTCAAAACATTTCGCATTTTTGTCGTCGCATAGATGATAAATAGAGTGAAAGAATTTCACCAAAAAGCGGCTTGACATCCTGGAAAATAGCATGCTTCGCAAAATCCCAAATCGCTCTAGGCGTTTTGTTTACGAGTGCAACCCGAGCATTAGTGTCGCTGGGTATGCCTCTGAAGTCCATAGAGCTGCTAGTACAGGAGGCGAGGCGAGGGGAGAGAATTCAGAGCTCATGATTTCATGATTAGCTTGACAGCGAGATTTCCCGTACCAGATTAGCGGAATTTGCATTCTCACCGGATCTGATGAACAGCGGATCGAAAGCGTTGTGCAACACTGACTATCCTCACCAAGATAAGGATACCTATTTAGCTGTCTCTGGGATGTACTCACCATCTATAACAGGGTGATGGTAGGTTGCATAGTAAAAATGACCGCTAAGTAAACCAGGGGAGGTTCGGAAGTTTGAATATGACTATCCCGTCGAATATATTTTATTTATTTTTCCTGGCTAGTTCGATTTACGTCAGTAGTCATGTATAATGCCCAGACCAAGGAAGGTGAACTTTCTTGAGGAATCCACAACCGGAGCTCTCGGCTAGCCAAAGCCTGACCCGCAAGGTAGCGGGACAGTGTGCGAAAAGCGCAATCCATTGGGGGGCGGTGTCGGATCTTTCGCCCTTTGGACGGGGTCAAAAGTCCAATACACATCCATGTCCAATCAAGGCCGGTAACCATAACCAGGAAGGTGTTTGTGGTTAGTAAACATCGTACGCCAGCAGTCGTGCAGGAAATGGGTTGTATAGAAGTAAATTATAATTATTATTGGTTGCTATCAAGCGGGGACCGATATGAAACGAATCGCTTGACGGCTTCTGAACCGGAGGTATGAGCCTCATTAGAAATTTGATTGAGATTCACACTGGCCTGTTATGTGAAACATCCTCAGTAGGATAAAATGCTGGCGTTTTGCGAAACCATTTAGCACCGTCGAGTCGAATTCTATTACACTTTAAGCACATAGGTGCTTTGAATTGGACATACATTTCTGTTCTATTTAGAATCGATTTGAAGATTACAGCAGGGAAGTTGCACACAAATGAGTTGTGTGCGAGCTGCGAGTGTTGGTTGTCTGTGGGCAACAGCTTTTTTGGGTAGTGGCCGTTACCCAGGCGACCATACGTAAGCACGGTAAGCGATTTATCTGATGCCAGAATAAAATAAAGTCATTGTTTTGAACGAAAGCCAGAAAAACACTAACCTATGTTCTCTGGAGGATTTGGCCCAGTTTGAGGTAAGTGAGTTGAATCGGAACCGCGTTGTTCGGACCGATTGGCTAGTGAGATATGACAATTCCAGCCATATTCCAGTCCCAAACGTTCTGCGAACACTCGACTGCGCAACTCATTCTCCTAGTGAAAAGGTTAACGAGGTACAAAAATAAGATCGCTGATGATGACGACAATAGTAAACGGAACAAGGAGGAGTAATACGTGAAATGAGTGGTGTGCCGAATGAAAAGAAAGTGCGACTAGGTGGACGAAACTGACCGTCTCAAAGTTAGTGAAATGAAACAATGGAAAACAAACGTTACCGATAGCAGTGCACACAACTCATGACGATAAATTTATTAAAATATAAAAAGCAGAAAATGTAAATCGTTACTGAAGAGCGGTAGTTGACAAAGAGTTGAGGGAGATGGAACAGAACACCGTCGACAGAGAAGTCCATGTCAGAAAGTCTGTCTGAGTGGTGGGCGTTAAAAACGCCGACACTCGGGGGTCATCCCGAGCATCAGCTCCCGTAAACCGAGGCATATGGGATGAGACTGAATCACATCGAGACACGCATATCGTCCAGCTGATTTCGTCGACCAACTGGAATGGGGTTGTTCGAAACGTTTCATGAATTTCTTCTGGTTCACCGACAATGGACAATGGAGATCGATTGTTCGAAACGGCCGAATCCCTTGCAAGATGAGTAGCGGATCGAGAACAGAAACTCATCCGAAATAAAAATGGATGACGACTGTGCTAGATTCATTATGAAAAACGCTCGAAAGGCAACAGTTGGCTTTAGAGTGAACATTTGGCATGCGATCCTGGATATCGCTCTCACGCAACGCGGATAAAACTAACCCTTGGTAATAAACGATCCTTGATGACTTTAGAAACGCCCGGTTGGAATTTTCACTCCGCAGTGACAAAACTTGTGCACTGAATTATGGTAATTGGTTAGATTTCGCTAAGAACAAATTGGGGACACGGATTTGCTTTGCGACAGCGAAGGAATATTTCGGTTAAAATTCCCAAAGCAAAACATGTTCTAGTTTGGATCTCGGAGTTTTGGACAGTCACAAGCAAAATCAAAGTGAAACTCATCCCATAAAGAATGCTAGGGAATCGATCAGAATTAATTTAGGTCGTGGAATGAAGCCGTCAAATATGCATGTGTATATGTGCTCATGTAATCTATAGGCCATTCGCGAATCCCATGCGATATGCTGTTCACATTGGGAGTACATAGTTAAGAAAGGTTTAACAGAGGCGTGCCTGATACACATACGTGATAAGCGACCGGAACGGTGCAGCTAGGCGTGTGTCTCTGGGATCTTGTTCACGCAATACTTATTGTGAAAAAATGAACGCTAAAAGTATGGCACAGTTCTTGGTATATGTTGTGTGTTTCACCAACTAAAATCAGACCATAATCACCCATCCAACAGTTAGCCATTAGTCTGTTACGAAATCGGCAGACAATTATGGGTGGGGTTGAAGTTTGAATCAGTATTGACAAATAACTGCGTTATAATACCGGAACGACATGCCGCTTACACGGTTTCTCACAACCTCCG